GGTAGACATTCCTCTGGTATTCTCTGCTTTCAGCTAAGATTCATCTAACATTAGCTACAATATCCCTAGTACCACGACCCCTTCTAAACCCAGCTTGGACTTCTGGCCGTTGTCTGCTGATGTGCTGTTTCAGTCGTTTTTAGATAATCTTCAGTAGAATCTTGCTTGCATGTGATATCAATGAGATTGTTCTATAGTTTCTACACTCTGTTGGGTCACCTGTCTTTGGGATGGGAACAGGAGAAACTTAGGGATAGGAAATAAACAATACTAGTGTTGTTTAATCTAGCCAACATCTTATTAAAGATGGGCTCATAATGTTAATAAGGGTTGAGTCTGGCCTGAATGTGTGGGTGTGCGATGAGACTGGAGTGAAGACAATGGCTAGTGCTTGCAATGTTAACTGCTTTTCCTGAAAATACAGTGAAGTACGAAGGGGTAACAGGAACTATGCCTTGTTAGTAAGAAAAATGATACAGAACTTCAATTGGCCGATTTAAGATTAAAATTTTAATGCCACAGGTATAAGACAGGACTGACATGGGGTTTGGGAAGAAACTAAGAAAAGGGGATAAATAATGAACACTGCATTGGAACAAATGAGGGAAATAACTGCTTAAAAGGAATGTATGATTAAGCATTATTTTAATGGCAACAGTCCAGAAGAAGAGGTGCATAGCAAATTGGACTGGGGTGGAGACGGAAGGGAGAAAAATGTGCAGCAATGAATGAATGAATGAATGAATGAATGATTGGAAATCTAAGCTTTCTGTAAACTTTTGTTAAAATCACAATAAAAAGTTATTTATAAAAAAATAAAACTAATTGTATCTGCGGATAGATGGTGGTGGAGAGCCAATGGTGACCTGGATAATTGATAATGTACTACTTGTAGTAAAATGTATTAATTTGACTTTTACTAAAAGAAAGTAAGTAGATATTGAGTGTTTCATGATGAATCTAGAAATAACTTTTTAAATTATGAAAGCAACCTCATTTTTCCTCACCTTTTCATCCCCAGCATTGTAGATCATATGATCATCTGATTCAAAATGTCCCTTGCCAAGCCATGTCACTTCATCAATATCTAGTTTATCAAACAACTCGGTGGTGGTCTGGGGCTGACTGAGGTGAGCAAGGCTACATGGGACAGTAGTTGAATAGTCAGATGAGATTCTGAATATTGGAGCACTGAGAAGCCAAAGATAAAGGAAAGAATCAAGAAATTAAAGAGCTGAACAGAAAATTCCAAAGAGCAGGTTGGGATGACAAAGCAAGGTATTACAATGAAATGTGTAAAGAGCTGGAGTCAGAAAATCAAAAGGGCTGAACTCGCTCAGCATTTCTTAAGCTGAAGGAATTGAAATAAATTCAAGTCACAAGTGGCAGTACTTAAGGATGCTTTGGGCAGAATGTTAAATGATCCAATAAGTATTAAAAGAAGATTGAAGGAGTGCACAGAGTCACTGTATCAGAAGGAATTGGCTGACCCAGAAAAACTTTATGAAGCAAAGTATGAGCAAGAGCCCGTGTAGATAAAGGAGGAAGTTCAAGCTGCTCTGAAAGAATTGGCAAAAAACAAGGCTTCAGGAGTTGAGAATGTACCAATTAACATATTTCAACATACAGATGCTGGCCTGGATATGCTCACTAAATTGTGCCAAGAGATCTGGAGGACAGCCAGCTGGCCAACGGACTGGAAAAGATCGATATTTGTTCCCATTCCAAAGAAAGGTGACCCTACAGAGTGTGGACATTATCCAACAATATCATTAATATCACATGCAAGCAAGATTCTGTTAAAAATTATCCAAAAACGACTGGAGAAGCACATCAACAGAGAACTGTCAGATGTGCAGGCTAGATTTAGAAGAGGTCGTGGTACTAGGGATATTGTAGCCAGTGGAAAGCAGAGAGTACCAGAGGAATGTCTTTCTGTGCTTCATTGACTATGCAAAGGCTTTTGACTGTGTGGATCACAACAAACTGTGGTTGACTGAGAAGAATGGGAATCCCAGAGCATTTGATTGTGCTTATGTGAAACCTATACTTGAACCAAGAGGCAGTCATCGGAACAGAGGAAGGAAACAATGCATGGTTGAAAATTGGGAAGGGTGTCTGCTAGGAATGTATTCTGTCTCCATACCTTTTAAATCTTTATGCAGAACAGATCAGCAGTAAGACTGGGCTATAAGAAGAGGAATGTGTCATTAGGATTGGAGGAAGATTCATCAGCAGCCTGTGTTATGCACAACCCTGCTTGCTGAAACTGAGAAGTACCTGAAGTGATTGCTGCAGGAGGTCAAGAACTATAGCCTCAATATAGATTGAAGCTCAACATCAAGAAAACAAAGATTCTCACCACTGTTTCAATTGGCAGCATCATGATAGATGGTGAAGAGATTGAGATTGTTAACAGCTTTAGTTTGCTTGGCTCCACAATCAATACTCTTGGTACCAGCAGTCAGGAATCAGGAGACGAATTGCACTGGAAAAGTCAGCTGTCAGGGACCTCTCAAGTGTACTGAAGAGCACCGACGTCAGGCTGGAGACTAAGGTGGGCTATTTCTAAGCCATAGTCTTTGCAATTGTGAGCTCTGCATCAGAGAGCTAGAAAAAGACTAGGGATGAAAGAAAGAGAATTGATGCCTTTGAGCTGTGGTGCTGGAGAAAAGTGTTGAATATACCATGGACTGCTAGGATAACAAACAGGTTTGTGCTGAAGATGATGAAATCAGGCTGCTGTTTGGAGGCAAGGATTCTGAAGCTTTGTCTGACATACTTTGGGCATGTTTTAAGGAGGGACCAGTCCTTGGAGAGGGACATCATGTTTGGGGAAAGTTAGGGACACCACAAGAGAGGAAGACCTTTGAAGAGCTATATGAACTCAGTGGTTGGGTTAATGGGAGCAAGTGTTTCAGAGACAGTGAGGTTGCACAGGATAGAGCAGGAATTAGGGCTACTGTACATAGAGTCGCTATGAGTTGCAAGCGACTCTACAGCACATAACAACAACAACAACAATATTCTGAGGGTTATCTTAAATCATCAGTTTACCTATATTATCTCTGGTCCTTCTAAGGTTGAATTCAAGGAAAGGTTACATATTTTGCCTATATTGTCTGTGTGGAAGGGGCAGAATAATGGGTGAATATCAAAGTCTCCTCAGGGACGTCACCAGCTGTTGTTGTTTGTTCTGTTTTTGTGTACCAACCCATAGCTGACCCTCCAGCAGGTTTTCAGAAGCAGTAAATCTCATGGGAAAAGATTACTCATCTTTTTCGCACAGTGTAGCTGGCGGAACAGCTGTTGAACTGTAGTGAATATCACAGCTCCTTCCCTTGATGGCACCAGAGCTCCCAATGTCACAGACTTTTCAGCCACTGTCCCATGTTTCCTTGATTTTTCTCAGTCGGCCCCAGACCACCTATTGGGGAAGCATTGCAGATAACTGACTTGTTTGACATACTGGGTATTGGTGAATTGAGATGGCTTGGCATGGGACATTTTAAATCAGATGAACATATGATCTACTATGTATACTTCTCAAGAAGAAAAGGTGAGGGGAAAATGGGGTTTCTTTCATTATTAAAAAGGTAATTTTTAAATCCATCAAGAAATACAGTGTGTTGAGTCACAGTATAATATCCATATGCATAAAAGGAAGTCCAGTGAATCCACTATCATTCAAATATATGCACTGATAACTAGAACTAAGGAGGAGGAAATAGAAGATTTCTACCAACTTTTGCAGTCAGAAATCGATCGAATATACAATCAGGATGCATTGATAATAATGGGTGACTGGAACACAAAAGTTGGAAACAGGGAAGAAGTATCAGTAGCTGGAAAATATAGACTTGATGACAGAGTGAGGCTGATAGATAGAATGATAGAATTCTGCACATTCAATGATTTATTCATTGCAAATACCTTTTATAAGGAACACAAATGCAGGTTATACACATGGATTTCACCTTATGGTATACATTTCGATTACATCCTTGGAAAGAATCACTGGAGAAGCTCAGTATCAGCTGTGAAAACCAGACCAGGTACTGATTGTGGAACAGGCTACCAACTACTCATATGCAAGTTCAAGCTGAAGTTGAAGGGAATTAATCAAATCCACAGGAACCAAAATTTGACCTTATCCCACTCGAATTTCAAAACCATCTCAGGAACAGGTTTGAGGCCTTGAACGCCAATGAGCAAAGACCAAATAAACTGTGGGAGGATATAAAAAAAACAGTCCATGAAGAATGCAGAAGGTCATTACAAAGTCAGAAGAGGAAGAAAAGACCAAGATGGATGTCTGATGAGACTCTGAGTATTGTATTGGAGTGCTGAGAATCCAAAGCTAAAGAAAGAAATAAAGAAATTAAGGAGCTGAATAGAAAATTTCAAAGGGCAGATTGGGATGACAGAGTAAGGTATTATAATGAAATGTGCAGAGAGCTGGAGTCAGAAAATCAAAGGGGCCAAACTTGCTCAGCATTTCTTTAGCTGACGGAATTGAAAAACAAATTCAAGCCACAGGTGGCTTGAAAGGATGCTTTAGGCAGAATGTTAAATGATCCAAGAAGAATTAAAAGAATATTGAAGAAGTATACATAGTCAGTGTTCCAGAAGGAATTGGATGACACACAAGAAGATCATGAAGCAACGTATGAGTAAGAGCCTGTGGTGATGAAGCTGTTTGCTTTGAAAGAATTGGCAAAAAACCAGGCTCCAGGAGTTGATAGCATACTAAGTGACATATTTCAACAAACAGACATTCGCCTGGATGTGCTAAGTTGTGCCAAGAAATCTGGAGAACAGCCACTTGGCCAACCAACTGGAAGAGATCAATATTTGTTCCCATTCCAAAGAAAAGTGACCTGACGGTGTATGGAAGTTATTGAACAATATCATTAATATCACATACAAGCAAGATTCTGCTGAAAATTACCCAAAAATGACTGGAGAAACACGCCAACAGAGAACTGCTAGATGTTCAGGCTGGGTTTAGAAGAGGCCATGGTACTAGGGATATTATACTAGGGATATTATAATGAATTAGATCAATCTTGGCTAAAAGCAGAGAGTACCAGATTATACTTAATATTTTACACAGATTTTGTCTATATTCCTTAAATGTCCTATAATTTTGTTTGTGTGTATTTTAAGACACAAAAATCTAATGGCACTATGAGAATCCTGACATTTTCATCCTCAACATCCTTTTAGTTTTATTTTTAGATTAACTTGACTGTACAGTGAAAAGGTAAATAGAATAGGTAGAATGGGATAGTTATTAGAGCAGGAGTATAGTTTAAGGTGGAATAGATAGTATACCATTACTCAATAGAAATAAAATCTCTGAGAGTGGGCCCAGAAGTCTATGGTTTAACAAGCTTTTTAGGTGATTCTAATGTGGGCTTGCAGTGTTAGCCTAAAGGTAGCTTTTTAGCCATTGCCTTTACCCCCTCTGGTTTCCAGCTACATTAACTGCAGACACATGTTCTTGCAAATAATCAACAGATGTTCAACTTTTATGAGAGAGAATGTGTCTTACACTGAGGAACAAGACCCTGGTGAGACTGAGCCTGGTGGTTGTGGTGGATAATCTATGGCAAATTGTAACCAAAGATGTCCTAGGTATCTGTCAACCACCATTGAAGGTTTTGCTGTTCTTGCTACATGCTTGATGGAGAAGCTTACTTTTTACTGCTCTGAGGCAAACCTTGTCAAATGATTGAGGAAACCAGAGAACCAGAGACTTCTTAATTTGTGTTGCTGAACTGAAACCAGGATTTGTGCTAATTAAGGGATTGCGTTTTGCTGTTAATATGGTTTAAGACTACTGAACTAAACCTGGACTTATATTGTGAGATAATCTTTGCCTCTTCCACTTCCTGACTTATTTCCCTAATAAACCCCACTTTTGGTACCACAACTGTCAGTAATGTCTGTGAGTCAACAACAAATACACAAACCTCTTGCTGATGCTTTGGCTCTAAAGACATCATGGGGCTGGACTACAGGTTTATATCTTCTTTTTGCTCTGGAATGGTGAGAGACTGTGCTATTCTCACTCCATCTGGCCTTTTCAGAGAGACACCCACGGTCCTATCCCCCCATATCCTGCTTTCTGTTCTTTAAACAAGGCTCAAATTTGAGAACTACTGGTTCAGAGGGTAAATAAAATAAGACCATTTCTGAAAAAGAGGTCATTACAGACTTGCCTATTCTCTACTTAAAACATTTGTAGGTCAGCCACTGAAAGACTGTACAATACTGATTGATGATATTTGGCCCCAAGTCACCAGAGAATTGAGAAGATATTCTTATAAAGCTAGCTTGAATAGAGTATGCCATTGTGTAAAACATGGTTGTTGTTTTTTTTTTCTTCTTCTTTGAACAGAGAAAACATCTATTTCAAGTACATTTAAAGACATAAGAAGGAAATTTTTATTTAAGAAATACAGTGCATTATATATTTGAAATTGTTAGAGAAATTGTTCTATGATATTATCCCAATTTGTAAAATAATACATGGTTAAAAAGAAATATTTTACTGTAAATGAATGCTAGGATTTATAGTCTGTCAAATCGAAAAAATTGGCATGTAAATAAAATTAGGTATTACTCAAATAGAACTATAACTGCAAATAATTGTTTTCTACTCCAGGCTTTAATGAGCAATGTGCAGATCAACAAAACTAACAGATAAGTGTTGTACCTTGTACAGCAAATTAGTTATAGAGCTGGATGTAATTGAGGCCTTTGGTGGCCAGGCAGGATGTGGCTCCAGGTGGGTGTTGAAGTATTTTGGCTGAGACCCATCACTGACATGGTAGCGTAATGAGTTGGTTGTGGATATTAAGGTCATGGAAAAGTCTCAGCTGAATATTTCATGCTAGTACTCCGTACAAGGCTTGAGGTCCAGGGCCCGATTGATTAATATAGTGACTACAGTAATTGGCTCAAACATGTTGGAGTTCATGAGGATGGCAGAGTATAAGGCAAAGTTCAGATCTTTTGTTTATAAGGTTGCTATGAGTCTATGAGTGATACTCATCAGTATCAAACAATTCCAAGTTGTAGTGAGAAGTAAAATAGTTAACCTCAATTCAAAATGAACATGAGTCAATTTCTAAAGGGAATTTTCAAACAAAGCATAGGTGTCTGTAAAAGTGGTAGAGAATGAGTAGTAATGTGCAATGAATTCCTAGAAAGAAAGGGACAGTGTCTGTAACACCACATGGGTGTGATTTATGTGGCAACACCTACAACATACAGGGGCATTGTTGCTATAGGTAAATGGTGGTCATTTGGTTGAATCTCCTGTTTTGGAAGAATCATTTATGTTAATTTCTAAATTTATCATAAACTACTTATAAACATTTCTTGGAATCAGTGTAGTCATTCAATAAATCAGAACAGCCCTTTCCTGTGTACTATGTGCACTGTGAAAGAGCAACTGTGGGGAAGGGTCTTGAGCTTTCTGCCATTAAGCAATCCATTGTTTCACATCATCAGTTATTTTGATGTAAGGTTGCTTTTCCCCCCTTCAGAGAGAAGCATTGCTTGTGTTATCTTTAATCAATTCAGACTATGTCTGCTTGTTTCTTGTGCTTTGAAATTCACAAGGAAAAAAGATTGCTTTCTGAGAAAGCGGGTTTTTATGCTTTCAAAAACCTAGCTCCAAAAATCTTCCTTACGATTTTTTAATTAATGTCAAGTCATATGAAGAACAAAGACTTAAGTTGCCTTTGTGCCCTGTTGGATTGCTTGATTCAGTTCAGCCTTGTTTATAGTATGTTCTGATAGATATCTCTGGGTTTAATATTTAAATTACCATCTCTGATTAAAATGTAAGTACAATATAACAAGAATAATTATCAGACAGTATAACTATGCAAAGTTAATAAATAGAGGATCTTAAAATTTTACATCCATTTATCAAATGCCAGTTGGTATAAATAACTGCATACAATTTTATTTCTTCCTATTCTTTTACATTCTTTTCATAGTATAATGTCTGACATTTGTTTGTTATTTAGTTTATCACTGAAATGAAATTTTAAATTTTTTAAGATAATTGTTTTGTTCTAAAAAATACTTTTCCCATGGATTTATACAATTTGCCATTTTTTTCCTGTAAAATGATATATTCATCATGACCTTATTCTTTGGCATAACTCCTACAAAGTATGTAATACTTCACATGTTTTAATACCTAATTTGTCAATTGTTGTGTGTTTTGGGTTACTTAGAAATGATTTCTTTTTGTGTCCTTTAGAAGTGTTTATCCTTATTTGATTAATTTTATTCTTGAACTATGAGGAGTCTTATTATATCCATAAGTGCAGAGCAGGAATTAGTCCAAACTTAAGTAGGGCAAATCTGTGTTGGTGAGCTGCTTTGTGTGGTTGCATCATTCTCAGACATCTGATAAGACTTGTCCCAGGAGAGCTGTTTTATCTGTACTTTTTCAATGTTTGAAATTTCTCTTTCAAGAAATGTCTTGTTTGTGCACATATATCTGTAATGGTGAGCAGTGTTGAGAAATCCATATACCTCTTTACCTTTTTATAGTCAGTGACGTGAATATAGGCCTTGTATACTAGCAAGTCTATAAGCAGCAGGGATGCATAAGCGGTAAACAACAGATATGTATTGCAGAAAATGTGGCCAGAGTGCTCCTTGAAGGCAAAGATGATGAAACTTTATCTCTCATACTTTGAGCATGTTGCTGAGAGAGGCTATTCCATGGAAAGGACATAATGCTTGGAAAAGTGAAAGGTCAGTGAAAGAGAAGAAGACTCCCAACAAGATGGTTTGACAGAGTGACTGCAGCAGTGGGCTCAAACATGTTGGAGATGATGAGGATGACACAGGAGAGTACAAGATTCAGATCTAGTATTCATAGTTGCTACGAGTCAGAGTAGTCAACAGCATCTAACAACAATAATCAACAACAATTAACAACCACAATAATCGGTAAAGGGAGCTCTGGTGGCTTGATGGTAAAGAGTTATGCTGCAAGCCCCAAAGGAACGTGGTTTAAACACACCAACTGTTCTACTGGAGAAAGATGGCTAGTCTCCACCTTTGCAATTAAATGCCTCTGAAAACTCACTAGAGGGTCAAGTATGAGTTGGTTCTGACTCAATGGTATATAATAATAACAACAACAGTAATCTATAATGAATAATTTAATCCCTCAATGATGAGAAGAAGCCTATATAAAATTATTCAGTAGAGATTAATAAGTACAATTAAGTATATAATAAAGAAAGGTAGCATTGATAAAAATGAGAATTCAAGAGTATTTTATTGTGTTCATTCAGAACCTGTAAATGGGCCAAAAAGAGGTCATTCAAAGGAAAGCTGTGCATGAAAGTTGTGTCCTGTCATCATATCTATTCAGTCGGTGTGCTGATCAGATAACCAGTGAATCTAGAATATATGAAGAAGTATTGGACATTAGAATTGGAGGAAGACTCATCTACAGCCTGCAGTCATGCAGTTGACAACACCTTACTTACTGGAAAAAGCAGAAGAATTGAAGCATTTACTGAAGGTGATCAAAGACTATATAACCTTCTCTGTGGATTTCACCTCAACATGAAGAAAACAAACATATTCACAAGAGGACAAGGCAACATCATGATAAATGGAGTAAATATTGAAGTAGTTAGAAATTTCATTTTTCTGTATCCATATCAACACCCATCGAAGTAGCAGGAAATAAAAACAGTGTTTTACATGGAACAAACTGTGGTTCTTCACAACTTTGGAGAGGAACTTGACCACAAAGAACTTTAAAGACTCAAGTATGGCTAACCTCCATTCATAGCATTTGCTTCATACGCATGGGAAAGTTGGACAGTAAATAAGGAAGACCACAGAAGAATCATTGTCTTTGAATTGTAGTATTTGTAAACTTTCTTGAACACATAAACTGGCAGAAAATAGACAAATCTATTTTGGAATAAAAACCAGCCAGAGTCATGCTTAAAAGCAAATATTAT